AGGTGACAAGAAAAACAAAACACAGTCTATTTACTTTGACACTACAACCATGCATTCACTCATTTTTTATTTATTCTACAAATATTGAGTGTCTTTTGTGCACAGGTCACTGTGCTGGGAGTTTGAGATACTTCCAAAGGTGGACTAGAAACCCTCCCCATCTCATGAAAGTCAGACTCTACTAGGGTTGCAGACACGTGAGCAATTACCATACAGCCTGACAAGTATGTAAATATGATAGACGGTGGGGAGGCAAGGAGGGGTCCTCAGTCAGACTCAGAAGGCGGAGTGGGATTCAGGCCCAAGGAATGGACAAGAATTCAGTAGACAAAGAGGTGGGAAAGTATTTAACGATACAGGAGAAGGCGCTAAGGACACAGTATTTGGTGACACGAGCCCAACGGTAGGAACCCTGGCTATGCTTCTCCGAGAATGTAACGCTCCTTTTAAAACTAATAAAGCCACCAGTGAAGAAATGACTGGCCAACCAGTGTTTCAAAGGGCAGTAAGAATCACACACAGAAACAGACTCACAGACCTAGAAGACAAACGTATGGTTACCAGTAGGGGAAGGAGGTGGGAAAGGATAAATTGGGAGTTCAGGATTTGCAGATACTAACTACTATGTATAAAATAGATAAACAACAAATTTCTATGTATAGCACAGGGAACTCTATTCAAAACCTTGCAGTAACCTATAATGAAAAAGAGTATGAAAAGGAATATATGTATGTATGTGTATGACTGAAGCATTGTGCTGTGCACCAGAAACTGACACAACATTGTAAACTGACTGTACGTCAATTAAAAATAAATAAAGAAAGAAAATAAAAAAAGAAAAAAGAAAAGAATCACATAAATGAAGCAGGATTTTATCTGAAACAACAGCAAAGTATTCTAGCCCAGTCTTGTATTCTTAGGGAGTCTTTCTATTGTAAGGAGACAGAGACAGAGACAGAGACAGAGAGACCCTTCCAGGTGGTAACAGTGCTACAGAAGAAATTTTTTTCTGTTTTCTCAGCTCGACTTTTCTCCTCACTAAACACAGAATGAAACAAACAAGTGAAAACAACAGGGAAATACAGAGACACTACCACAAAGCGACTGTTGTTTTGATCCAGATTGTTAGAAACTGACAAACCAGTGCTTCTCTGTTCCCATTGCTGTGAAATACATCACCATCATTGTGAAATTCTTGAGATGCAAGCAGGCCATCTTATCTACTCCCATGATTTCAACAGGCTGCCCATTACTACATGTGTGACCTTTAAGACCCTTCTCCCTCACTTCACTACAACCACAGATTTGCTGGGACCCTGCGTAATACTTGGCACGTAGTAAGGTGCTTAATAAATGCTTGTTGAAGAATGAAATCTATGAGATCTGCCTCCAGCCATCTTTTCCTGCAGCTTTCCTCCTCCCCTCTTACCCTGTGATGGAGAACCTCTAACACAATGGCCAAGCCAGTCGTCCGGGACCTTCTCTGATGGCCCTCCATGTACCTGCAGGACACTCATCACCTGTCCCCAGGGAAGGGTGACGCCTCTCCCAGACTGGACTGAGAGCTCCAGGAGGGCAGTCATGTGTCTTACTCAGCCTGAGGCCTCATGAAGTCACCAGCATACACTAGAGCTCCAGAATCCTGAAGAATGAGCCACTGTATGAAGAGTTTATTAATTTTGCAATGAGTTTATTTGTACGAACAAATGTTTATTGAATTCCTAATTTGCCAGCTGCTGTTTTAGATGTGGAGGATACAGGAACAAGACTGACAGGACCCCTGGCTTCGTGGCCGTTGGAATTCTAGTGGAGACGGAGAGTAGGTGTGTCTGACTCTGTTTTTGATGTTTGACTGCCCACAGCTTTCAAGCCCACCCCACCCTTTTCCTTTCTGTCCAGCCTCTGAGAAGGTGAGTAAGAAAGTCTGGCACTCCCTCCCTTGTTCAGACCGCAGAAACCCCAATCGTGCAGAGGAGAACTCCAACCTGGCCCCACCTCTTAACCAGATGAACACCAGAGCCACTCACCCCTGCCTTCATTCAGGCCATTTTGAATTGTCCGACTCTTCCCGGAAAGTCTCAGCTTGTGAGCAGCAAACCCTCTCAGACCCTCTCGATGTCTGTGTGTGCTCCTCACTCTGGACGTCTGAACCAGTTTGGAGGGACTGGTGGGAGGCTGACCCGGCTCTCTCTGTGGGGCAACCACAAGATGCATGTAAACAAACAGACAAGGAGATCTCAGGTTATGGTAAATTTTATGAGAAACATACAATGGGACAGTGAAATGAAGCATAAGGGGTGGTGGGGGTCGAAGGACATGGAAAGGATGATCTGTACAGAATTATGGTTATGTGACAACTTAGTCTCTTGGCCAAAACTCAACTTGATGTGGTGGGAACTGGCAGCCGTCTCAGTGCTGTTCCCCCACTCTCCACAATAAGGAAGGGATAATAACAATGGTGCTTCATGCCTTCCTTCTCTTTTAGCAGCGTACATGGCCTCCCACAATAAAAATGTTATTTCCTGGTCGCCCTTTTAGCTGGGGGCAGTCATGGGACTAAATTCTAGCCAACGGGGCGTGCCTGAGTCCCACTATCCCGACCACATGTAGACTTGGTGGCTGGGGCTCCAGTGGCCACCCCGGACCACACACAAACCTGGGGACCTCGGATGTGCAGAGCGGAGCCTCAGAAGAGACGGGTTGGGAGTCTTACACGGAGGAGCCCCACCGCTCTGCCTGCCTCCCTCTACTTGAGCATCTAAGAGAAAACCACTTGTATCTTGTTAAAGACACTGAAGTTTTCGGTTCTGTGCTTTTCTCACCTGAACAAACCCTCAGTCATGCACTTGCTGAACTTGTCACTTCAGAACCCGTCATCTTCTCTCTTAATGTCTTTTACCAACTCTGTTCTCTCTACTTAGCCACGGTTCTTTTCTTCTTTTCTCTTCCCTCCTAATTTTCCCTTTATTGATTATGCAAAATTAAAATACCCTGATATATTATCTACTGAAAACATTTTACAAATTAACTTACTATAGAGAATATAAAATATACAAAAGCAGACAGAATAAAATGCCAAATCCTTCAGTACCCACAACTCTGCCTCTCCAGTGATTAACCTGTGGTCCACTTCCCCATCCACACCCCAGCTTCTTCCCCCTTCCTGCATGATTTTGAAGCAAACCTCAGACCTCCTATTATTACTGAATAAAGTTTCACGACTCTCTGTTGTGTAAAAAGCAGATAATCAATTTCCTTCTAGAAACAAAGCCAAATTCCTAACTCATGGTTTCCTTCACTTCATAAAAATCATCTTTTTGTGGGGAGGTATAGCTCAGTGGTAGAATATGTGTTCAGCATGCACAAGGTCCTGGGTTCAATCTTCAGTATCTCCACTATAAACAAACAAATAAATAAACCCACCCCCCCCAAAAACCTAAAAGTTTAAGAAACCATCCTTCTCAATCACCTTCTGAAGCGTTCATCTTCCTCTCTCCCCTCTTTGCCCCTCCTGCTTCCTCCTTTTCTCCCTTTCTCTCTCCTCTTTCCCCTCCCTCTTTCTGAATCTAATGCATCTTCTGCCTGTTGGACCCTCACTCCTTTTTCCCTTAAGGAAATCACAATTGTGATTCTCTGACATACTCTCTTTTTCAATTTTCAATCACTGAGAATCCATTTTGCCACAATGGCGGCATTTACTCATTTATAATCTCTTTATGAGTTTGGAGAAAAGGATTTTTATAAAGTTCGCACAGATCCTAACTGCCCTCTCAGGTAATAAAAACTGGTTAGACTAGTGATACACACTGGAAAAATACCATGAATAAAAAGAATCCACTTACAGTAGTAACCAAAATTAAGTGTTGAGTGTTATTTTGACCAGAAAATCTCTAAAACCTTATTGATAGTGAAGACTTGTTTTTATAACACTGATAAGGCGTTGGATTTTTATGTCAGTGGGCCTGGGCCGTGTGGCTGTTTTCCCACAAAGCAAGCTGGAACTGTTTTGCTGTCATTCATGGGTGAGAACTGAGCACATTTCTCAAGGGCAGAATGATCCACTTTTTTGGAGGGAGTACAGATTACTTGGACAAGGTAGAGGCAGATCTTTCCACAACATGATAACGACTGCAGAGTCAGTATCAAATTCTCACACATTTTATTTATGTTACCTGGGTGAAAAATAAATCTGTGACTCACATACAGTAACAGAACAAAAGGAACTATGACCAATCAGCACCCCTGACTTCACGTACTTTTGGAAACCCACTATGTTCCTCAGCATGACAACCTGTTTCTCCTCCGGGAAGTTGTGGGAGGGACACGCTACCCAGCACCCCATTGCCTCCACCTGTACCACGATAGTGAACTTCACACCAGGAAAATGACAGGAAACGTGGCAATTCCTGTAGCCTCAAAGATCAAAGAACCTGTAGATCAAAGAACGGTAATTGATGCGCGCTGGGTTTACCTGTGTAGACCCATGAGGACCGAGGCAAGCAAGAGCTTGCTGCTTTTAACACTCACCTTGCAGAGCCAGGCCAGCGTCAGCCAGTGCCCGAGAACATTTATGAAGTGAGCAAGTACAAAACCAGCAGCACAGCTTATTGGAGTTCAGATTCATTTAGCAAGTTGGCATTTAATGCCTCTTCTGTCCTGCACTCTTAGTGGTTCTTGAAAGCACCTTTACTTGTCTCATAGCGTTAATACGATCATTTTCCTTATCACCAGCCCCTCTCACTTCAGAATTGGGATTCTCAGCTTTTTTGACACAATACTAACACTTAACTTCTCTTAATGCTCTTAAAATTGTATGTTCTCGCTTCTATGCCCAATTCTATGATGTCTGACCTAAAATTTCAGACACAGAGTTGATCTGTATCTGTCTACATACTACTCATGATAAAGTGAGTAGAAGTGTTTCCCCAATAAGTTAAAAGAACTATCTCCCAGGTTAGTGGTTTTAACTGGAGGTGAGAGATTGAAAGCTGTTCCTTTGGCCTTGGAAAAGCAACTATTTAGAAAAGCTGCAGGTATAAATAACGCCGTTCTAGGAAACTGTGCACTGCTGGGGGCAGGGGAGTGGAGAGAGAGAAGGGGACCTGTGCTCTGACTAGACATTCATCCACATTTCAATATTTAGGATTTTCAGTAGCTTGTGAATACAAGAAAATTTATTGCATTAAGGTAGGCTTTAGATACTTGACATGTAGTGATATTTTCATGGTGTGAGAAATATCAAGCTGACATTATGCTTTCTCTGTGATGATTACTTCCAAATGTCAGAGCAGAAACTTATTCATGGAGCTTCAGGGCCTTAGGATAGTGTCAATTTAAAAGACATTCACATCGACCTCTTTCTTATTTAAACATGCTAAATGGAGTCTGAAAAGCGGGTTAGGAAATCAAGGAAGAAAGGAAGAGCAAAGAAGAAATCTATTGACAAGAACATTTTAAATAGATTAATGCACTCTTACATCAATTTCATGGACACCTTGCTGACAGCAGGCTTCAGGGACTGCCTCCTAACATTTCTGACAGTTGTAGTCTTACTGTTCACACTATTTCACTCATATCACTTATATTGAATTTGGGAAATTAAAAATAATATATGAACTATTTGATTTTTTGTAGAGTATCTTTAATAAATAAGTCAGATAACTAAATTACTATTCTCTTGTCACTTTTAATACTAACATTGGACCTCAAGCTAAAATCAAACAGAACTTAATGATATTTTAAATGAAAAATTTATTCTTTTTGTTCACCAAACTCTTTAGCAGCTAATTATGAACCTACTGAACTGCTATTTTGGAAATAACTCAAAGGAATAATTAGCATTATTTTTAAACAAATTGGCCACGTCAGAGATAATTATGCGTTTAAATAAACCTTTGTCTTTTCAATTATGTACACAGCAGTGCTCTTAATTACTTGGGGTCACTGAAATCGCATGGAATCCTCTGAAAAGCATTTCTCCTGCAGCTTATCTTGTTAGATTTCCTTTCTGGTCTTGGAAGCCAGTATTTTTTCCTTTTTAAAATTGCTTTTTAGCAGCAGTGGGGATGATGGTGATGATGGTAATTTGAATTCAGTCTTAAAATCAGCCCCATTTGTTCTGACTTCTGTAGGTCAATGACAAAAGTCACTGTGTAGCCATCTGACTTCCCTGATTTATCTCACAAAATGTTATCTCCAATACAAACAAAAGTTGTGGGACCTCCATGAGCTAGACCAGCTACTTTTGGGGGCTGCAAAATTTTGAACTGTGATCTTAAAAACAAAAGGACAAATCAAACATGCTGACTGACAGAACTATCACACAGAATCATTGCAACCTTGTTCACGAACTCAAAGCTGAAACAGAATGGACTGATAATTCTGTCACTCTGTTGGTATTGCTCAAATTTTTAAATTTTAAGCGCTGAGTTCAGGGGTGATCATTTCTTTATTATGTTTCAAGAATTACATTGTTCTGTTTGCACCGAATATCACAAAATAAGTAATATTGAAGGGCTAGCGTTTGCTGCATTTATACACTTGATTGTACCCCCAAAGGCCCGTCGATGTCTTCAGGGTTGTCCCCTGTGAAGGCTGGAGACAAATGGGAACGTTAGGATGCTGCCCAGCACCCTGGTGCATAGCTCCCTCAAGAATGTCAGGGCGGACAGGCCGAACCCTCCCCTTCTGCATCCGTTAAGAGGAAGGGGTCCCAGGAATCTGGTCCAGGTCCAGAGTGCCAGAGCCAGTCACAGCTCAGCATCTGGAACTTGTCACCGCCCGGACGTTTTCCGAGGGCGGAGAATCTCGACTGCTCTGTTAGCTGCAGTGTCCCCAGCCCCTGGGTCAGTTCTGAGCCAGACAAGGGCTAACGTCTTCTGGCTGCCTGTTGTCTCTTCCTAACCTCCAAGTCCCTTTCAAGGCCAAGTCTGGGCGGGAACGGCGCACCCTCAAAGCGTGGGCTGCAGTCCCAGAATCCCGGGCTCTGCGGGGAGGCCTCCCTGTCAGGAAGGCAGCAGGGGAGCTGCGTGGTGGCCTCGAGCAGACACTCTCCCGGGACCACGGGGCCTTCGCCCTCGGAGAAGAGTCTCCCCGAAGGGGCTGAGCCCACCGTCTGGAGTTAGCGAGCAGGAGCTGGTGGGCGGGACTTGCCGGGCTCTCC